ATGTGTTCAAAATTTTTTCATAGTGCGTAAACAGTAATAGTTCTTCGCTTTGCATGAAATTTTGTCACCAGTACTTAACTTTATTGATTATAAAAGCATACAAAATAATTAGGGGGAGGAAATGTTACTGTCGAACTACCTAAATTTCTACTTGATCTTCGTAAGCGAGAACTGCGTAATATCGACATGTTAACTATTAGTATATTTCGAAAATTAGCAAAGTAATTATAAGCTCAGCTACAATAAAAGGATCGTTAGAATAATGAATAGGAATCTCCGATTCTTGCAATTTATAATACCGATGCACATCAACATCATTTCTAATAAGTACATTCAAACATAGCATACGCCCCTAGTACCTGTACTCCGATAATGCCAAACTGTCCTTTTTCCAATCTGTGACTTTTCGTAACAATATGAGTGGTATATCAAGAGTGACCATATCAAGTGCATTTATCTTAATTTGGTTACCTAATTGTCAGTTAGCTAAGGCAGTAGGATCGGCTCCTCGTAGATAAAAAAATGATCGATAGAACAGGGAACTTTGCTCAAACAGGTAAGCGTTTTGCCAGGGATTCAGGGGTTGCGTGACGGAACGGGAAACAACCAAACCCATAACAGTATTACTAGTTATATGATATTAATCTCATTCGTTTAATACCTGGTTGCGTGGTGTAATGGTTAGCACCCAAGACTCTGAATCTTGTGATCCGAGTTCGAATCTCGGCGCGACCTTAATCTACCGTTTTGAATACCCCGTTCCTAGCATGATTCAAGATTTTTCTTCTTATTTTATTCCTTGTGTGCCGCAACGCGCAGGTGAACAATCTATGCATTAACAGATCATATCCAAATTCGAACTTCAACTATGCAGCACAACTACATTGTAGGTTTAGAATACCTTCAATGTTCACGTTCTTATGCATATATACGATTTACCTAGTCTTTCTTTGTGTGCGGGTCATGAGAAGATATAAAACCCTGAAACCCTGTCTAGTGAAACAAAAATATTTTCAATCAACACCGGATTAAAATTTTTGTCTACTGTCGATAAGAATTCATCTGCTCGATTAACGCAATATCCTTTATAGAACACGAGAATATAAGACAACTTATTAACTATGGACAAGAGAAAGGAAGAACTGGCCAGAAAACGACAGAAATTGGCTGAGTTGCGCAGGTTGAAGGAAGAGAGAAACAAGGTTGCTCCAGAAAAAGATCCTGCGGTAATTGTACAGATTTATTAATTGATATGGAATTGAATCAGCAAATTAAATTAGCTTTATATAGTGGCTGTAATTATAATGTTTCCTGTAATTTTGGCTCACTAACCAAAAATTGAATTGATCCCATCATTGTTTAATGTCTTCTGAAGCTCGCAGCAGAAGCTCCTCGTTCCCGGAGTGAAGATGTTAGAGATCTGGTAAATTTACTTCTTAATGATAAGAAAGACGAAAGGCGACCTTCCACACCTGGTCCAACCGACTTGGTTGGAGACTCTGATGGTGGGAGTGATAAAGAACCCCGGCGTTTGCCTCTGAGTCTCGAATCGAATGGAACTGAGACTAGTGTCAGCCCGACGATCAGTTTACCGCAAAGGTTGGTGCCTATCTTGGAAAAAAGTGGATGCTGCATAGACAATTTATATATAAATCATTATAAGGATAATAACCAACCTACTTAGTTACTATCCAAGATAACCGTGTCTGCTTTGATATTCTGTTCTTTCCATTAAATTCTAGCCCGCAAGTGTCTGCTAGCGGATCACGTTTCATACCAGACTTTTCATCCTTCGAAGCTGTAATCCTTGATATTGCTCCAAAGGTAAGTTTATTTTTAATCATATACAACCTCTCTGCGTTTATTGATAATGGATTTACCATTTTCTTCCTTTCGTACTCACTGCACCACAATTGGGCGCCTACTCTAATTCATTACATCAAAAAAGGAAGTAGTATTTTACGACAAAGAGGCACAGACAAAAGAGACATCTACTAACCCGCCAGCACCGTCGGAGGATGAAATACGTGAGAGGGTTGAGAGGGAACTCGCTCAAAGAGAAAAGATGCGACTAGCACAAATCGAAGAAGAGAAAGCCAAAGCGGAAGCCGAAAGAAGGAGGGCAGCAAAAGCCAGAGGTATGATATGAAAAATACTTTTATGAGATGGAGTTATGCAAGACTTTATTAAATTATGGAAACATACCTTTTACCATTGAAATATCAGATTTAAATGAAGAGCAAAAAAAGAAAATTCTTTCTTCGGCTGATTTTGTCGAATTTGTTGATCACTCCACTAAACTCGTTGGACGAGTTCTTTCTGATGACTATGATTTCATGAAAGATTATTCCATTACTCAAGATGATGATAAGTAAGATATAAACGCATTTGTAGCGTTTCTTGTATCTTGAAAACGTAGTAAGACCACTTATGCTATTAGAAGTGCGTGTATTGATACTTGTACTTACGCCTTTTAGTGGGGACGAAGATTCGGGTAATAGAGTAAAATATCTTTACTCATTCTTTGATGAACGATGGGCGAAAGCACGCGCTACACGGTCCGTGACCGACGTTAATTGGTCTCACAAGGTTGAGTACTGTTACTAAACTCCGTCTCAAGTTAGAATGTCTGATAGAGTATTAACTGTGATTATAGCGATGGTGATGATTAACGAATAAGTATTCAATTTTCACCCCACCTCGAACACGGTTTCGATCGCATTTATTTTCGTCAAAATAGTTCCCTGAGCTTTGTGTCGCATCATATAATAAAAACCCGGTGACATCAAGTGAACCGGATGGATTAGTACTTGTGTGGAATCTGCATTTAGTAGCAAGGCCGGAATACGTGTTCCATGCACAGGTTGGTTTTACTTCTTATTGTATGAGTGAGATATGGACGCTTATTATTTACAATCAACTTACAACATACTATTCCTTCTTTTTTGCGCCATTTCCCGGGGATATGCCTAGTCCGACGTCCTAACAACAACGTTCTCTCCGTTCCATCCAAATTACATTATTGGCGGTTGCTATTCAGGACAGATAGTCATCTGGGATAACCGTGCCAAGTCCCAGCCCGTTCTCAAAACACCGCTCTCCGCAAATGGCCATACGCACCCTATATACTCTATGCAAATGGTTGGAACCCAGAATGCTCATAACCTGATTACGGCATCTACTGATGGATTGGTGTGTGCATGGCAATTGGATATGCTCACTCAGCCACAAGAGTCATTGGAACTGGTGCATCCAGGTCATAATAAGACGGATGAAGTTTCTGTCACTGCTCTTGGGTTTCCGGATGCCGAGACTACTGCATTCTGGGTCGGAACGGAAGAAGGGAATGTATACCAAGCAAATCGGTTTGACAGGGCTGGAAGGTCTGTGGTTTTGATTAGTTTAATTAAGAATGTATTTTCAACATGTGGTCTTTAGCTGATTTGTTTTGTATCAATTTTTGGGGCCTACTTTCTGCGCATCCAATTTCTCCAAACAGCAAGGCTGGAATAAATCAATACGATTATTATAAAGGCCACTGGGGACCGGTGACAGGCCTTGAATTTCACCCTCTTGTAGGCCAAGTCGACTTCTCCGATCTTTTCCTCACCTCTAGTGTGGACTGGACTGTCAAGCTTTGGAGAGCCAAATCAATATCCAGACCGTCTAGTCAAGAGCAAAATATCAATCCTCTCTATTCATTCGAAGGTGCTGACGATTACGTCTACGATGTCAAATGGTCACCCAATCACCCTGCTCTATTCGCAAGCGTTGATGGAACTGGCAGATTTAGTCTGTGGAACTTGAATATGGACACCGAAGTGCCCGTTGTAGGATTAAATGTCGGAAATGGGAAGGCACTAAATAAGATTCAGTGGGATAAGGAAGGAAGAAAAGTTGCTATTGGTTCATCAGACGCGAAAGTTCATGTTTATGATATTGGAGAGGTGAGTAATGAAACGAAGTTATAGAATCAATCAATACGGAAAAGACACTCTAAAACGAAATAACGCGTAAACATCTATGTGAACAAACTCATCACATACACATTCTTTCCTGCATCAATAGCTCGGTCATGCGCATCCGGATGAGTCGAAGAATCTACAAAAGGTCATTAGCGACATGGCTGCTGTCAGTGAATTAGAAAACGCCAGAAATGTTGCTGCGGGGAAACGAAATTGAGACAGGAACTTGTTTGTCACGTTTAGCGTTCAGTGATTGCTGACTATTATATGTTAGCAGATATTGTATATTTACACTTGTTGATTTAAATTAAGACATTTGAATTAAAGATTCCATATCATCTTTACTATACTTGTGTCTTTCATGGGTTGCTTATTTATATGTATCGAGGGTGGGTGTGGCATAAATGAATTCTGGCTACTGTGACTGTAAGATGTTAAGTATGACAACACAATCGGTTCGCCCAATTTTCGTGTTTCAGACACTATAACGAGAGAAAAGTTCAGTACTCCAAGATTGTTTTCAAAACAGTACCACGAGCAATTTATTTTACAAGTCCTTGTCACGTTAGAATATTAACTTGACGTTTTGAATTGTTCAAGCGATGATGTATTGAAATTCACAAGTATGTTATTTTTTTAGAAGAAATATTTATTTCTGATGAATCACGTAAGCTAGTGAACCTGTTGTCCAAAGAAATGTAATTACTTTGTAATTACTGTCATTTATCACCATTTTGTTGCCCCTTTACTTCTTTCATTTTCAACCCACAAACTTGCGATAATTTATTTAATTCCGTGTAACTCTTTTATTTTAAATTAGAAGAATTAGTCAGTAATTATCCACTCGCGTATACTAAAAATTGGGAAGTTATGTACTGTACGAATTAATTCCAAGTGTCAAACGTTTCTATGAATTTTAATGCAGGTCGCCATATAATTCCTATTCTGTAAACGTCATCTGAAACTTCGCCAGAAACCCACATCACGCAAATCCAGGTCGACCCAAGTTAAGTTAAAAAAATTTTTTTTAATATATTAAACGTTCAGTATCTTCTTCAGTTTTATAATAAGTGCCCAGTCCTCTTTGGATACATCATTTCTAAAAGATTCTTTTAGAACGTCGATAGATTGACGAGAAATCTGAAATAGAAATGACATTAGCAATCCAAAATGAATGGATTATCAAAGATGTCAAATAGATTGATACTCACCTTGCTGTAAAGCTCGTCTTGTTCAACGAAATGTCTCCCAATCATTTTTGGCGCTTCATAACTGGGACACTCGATCTTAACTGCTACTCCGCCAGTCGCCTGACCCTTCCGCACCGTATCAATATTCTTATGGTTCTGTTGTATCGATGCTACTCTCCCAAGATTGAGTATTTCACGCGCCTATTAATAAGGTGCATGCGACAATTATGTATAAATTCTAGTGTCGGATATATCATGTTCGCGTAAGACTAAATTTAAATTGTACACTTACGTTCGTCGCAGGATCAACTTTAACGACGCATATAGGCGTACCCACTCGTAATGAACCTTCAACGACATCAACACCAACCAGAATAGGATCTCTCTTATTGAATATTGCACCTGGTATAATCCTGAGTATGCACGGGAAGACTGCCTGTGGAGCTTGATCCCTTCGCTTCTGCTCGAGAATATCCTAATAATAGAGAAGATAGGTTGGAGCTACTTGATGTCGACCTATTCTACAACTATGATATTTTGTGGTTTCCTTATTTACCTGGTTATAAGCAGTGAACTGATCAAACAAGTGATAAATAATATCGGCTTTAAACATCTTAATTCCAAGCTCTTCTGCCAAGTCTTGGGCCTCTTTGTCAAACTTCACATCAAATGCAAGAATCACAGCGAATCTGCAAGTCGCATAATATAGTCAACATGGTAGCCATCAATACCAATAGTTATCACATCACTGAATAAACTTTCCATCAATTACTCACTCCTTAGCTTTCTCAAGCATGCTAGCAGCCCTCATAACATCTTTCCTGTGTACCGGTCCGATACCAACGCCCGACACCGGTATCTTACTCGACTTCAAAAACTCCAGCAGGGCTTCCAGTGATCCTAGGGTGCTCGCCTGTACGTAAACACCTTTTCCACTTTTATCAACTGAACTCAACATATCCTGCAAATCGCTCATAACCTCTTCTTTGACCTCCTCCTCATCGTCATCCGGGCCGACTACCAACAGCCTACTACCAGCAATAGCTTTATCCAGATCCTGTGCGGATATTTTCACACCTTGTGCAGCCTTGACACTCTTGTGGTGAACATAAGAGGATTTCACGCGCAGTTCACGTAAAGGCTGCGGTGTCAGTAATGCTCTTATATTAGTCACTATCGGACCGTTTAATCCGCATATAACAATTCTATCGCCTTCGTTTAGGACTCCATTGGAGAGGATTACATCGATTGTAGTGCCAAGGCCATCGATTACTTTAACTTCGAGAACCGTGCATTCAAGTTCGGAGAGGTACATCAGTTGATTAGACATACGCGTTTGGGTGAGATTAACAAGCAACATAAGCATATCTGGAATGCCTTCGCCTGTTATGGCTGAGGTTGGGACTAGAGAAACAAATTTGGCAAAGTTTTTGTTCTCATAGTACAAAACCGAATTTAAACCCTGTAGGCAAGTATATTGTAAGTTGTATTTCAACAAAGTATGCTTTATATTGAAACAAGTCGATATTTAACCTGCTCAGCAAACGCTACTATGGTCTGCTGCACGCGATCTTGAAATTCTCTTTTCACATGATTTTCTTGTTTTTCAATTGAATCTACAAAGGCGTTATCCGGTATTGATTTCCACCCATATATGCGATCAATCTAACATAAATACAACCATATTAATGCAGTCTCGTCCAACGAATCTAAACAATTCCATGCACTCAATAGACACACACCTTATTCAATGCAACAATGAACGGTGTCTTCCGATCTCTCAATAGTCTCAACGACTCCAAGGTTTGCGGTTCCAGTCCATGCTGTAAATAGTACAAATTGAGTAAACGAAGCGTACGGTCTTGGTGACTTACTTCCCCGACCACAAGAAATTGCGGCACCATCTCTGGGACAATCCTATATGACTTGATGACCTACCATTATATCAACCACCAAAATAGCAATATTACAGAGTGATGAGCCACGCGAGCGTAAATTAGTAAACGACTCGTGACCTGGAGTGTCGATAATAAGCAGACCAGGAAGATTGTATTCTTGTCTACCATCCTAATATACGAGTTACAAATAGTTGATAAGTATTTGGAATAACACAAGATATGTCTATTGCCATTCCGTTAGCGGTTGCAGTTTTTTCTAAATAAACAGTTCAACAAACCTTATTCAAAGGGGCAGTTTTTATTTTGATTGTATCCATTGGGAAATATGAAGCTCCAATCTGCTGAGTAATACCCCCAGCTTCACCCTCTTGAACATTAGTCTGTCGAATTTTGTCTAATAGTTTTGTTTTCCCGGTATCTACGTGTCCAAGAATGCAACAAATAGGTGAACGAAGATTGTCTTTCGATGCAACAGGTTTTGTGGCGGGTTTTTTCAAACGGTCTGTATCAAGTTGCGTAGTGGGTTGTGTATCTGTCTCTGTAACAGGTTTCGTGACAGTTTTTGAGCTTGGTTCTAGACAGGAATAATTTCAATAAATAAGTATTTACGGATAAAGAACACTATGCTCACAGCGCAAATCCTGGTTTACTAACCAGTTCGCTCGCCTTTCGCAGAAACATGTTCCTTCTTGTCCTTCACTTCCTTTGCCTTCAATTCCATTGCCTTTTCTCTCTCTGCTTTCTCTCTCTCTGCTTTCTCTTTCTCTACTTTCTCCTTCTCTACTTTCTCCTTCTCTGCTTTCTCCTTCTCTGCTTTCTCCTTCTCTGCTTTCTCTTCCTTTGTCTTTAATTCCTTTGACTTCTCTTCCTTTTTGTCTTTTTTAATTTCTTCATCTTCTTCCTCCTCACCATCACCACCTTCCTCTTCATCATCATCATCATCATCACCATCATCATCTTCTTCCTCCTCAGATGAATCTTCCCAGCTTGCCTTAATGTCAACGTCTTTCGATACAACTTCATCTTCCTCTTCGTCGGAAAGTTCCCAACTTTCCTTGACACCATCTTCAGGCATGCTTTCTGGTTCTGGTTTTTCGATCTCTTCTTTCGTTGCCTCATCATTGTTTTCCTTGATGTCTGCCTTTATGTCCACAACTGTATCAAATTAGAAACTTAAAGTTCGATGAACGGCTCACTTATTATTTGACTGATTCATGTTAACATTTGGTTTTCGAAAGTCATTCCTCAGCATATCACTCACCATCAGCAGGTTCAATTTTTTTCTGTTTCTTTTTTTTATTAGTACGCGAATCCTTTTTCGATTCGTCGTTAGTAGCACTGTCGCCGGCAAGGCCCTCAATTTTGACACCGGATTCGAGCATTTGTTGACGTCGAAGCTGGGCTTGTTGTTGAGATCTTTTCTGGGCCTTTGAAAGAAGTTTTCCTTCTTTCCGAAGTTTTTCGCGTTTAGCCTATGGTATGAATAAGAGAAAAAGATGTGGGATAAGTTTGAGAGTTAAAATTGGCGCTAGAACGTTAAGATCAAACGTATAATCAATCAAACATTGCAACCTTCTCCTTCTCTTTTTTCTTTCGTTTTGCTTCTTCTTTACGCTTCTCTTCTTCCTCTAAACGCTTTCTTTCCTCTACGAGCAAGCATGTATATGGTTTGGTTTTTTTTTTATAATACATAACGTGCGATCAGATTGACAACTGGTCGATTAAATTTACCTTCTTGTCTACGCGCTTCTTCTTCTTCTTTGCGTTTCGCTTCCTCTTCAATTAATCTACATACCAAGAATAAAAACATGAGTGATGCGATAATTTGTAGCTTCGACGGATCATATCGATCATGTAGTTATATCAAAACAAATTTTTCAAAAAACCCAATTTAAAGCGTGGATAGTTGGAATTTACCTTTTACGCTCAACAGCAGCCTTAATAGCGGCAATATTAGGACCTTTCTTGGATTTTGCCTTCTTGTCTTCCTCTGGTTTCTTCTTCTTCTTTTTTTTTTTATTCTTCGATTTCCCTCCCTCCTCCTCCTCCTCTGCTTCTCCTTCTGCTTCTCCTTCCGCTTCTCCTCCTTCTACTTGTCCTTCTACTTCTCCCGAATCTTCAACTTCTGCTTTAGCCGCCTCTTGCTCTATTACCGCTTCTTCATGTGTTACTGATGTCTCCTCGGCTGTTATCTTCTCTTTTTCATCGTCTTGTTTAGGTTTGTTTGCAGCAGCCTTCCTCTTATCGGCTTCTGCTTTCTTTCTTTCTTTCTCTTTTTGTTTCTTTAATTTTTCTTTTTCTCTTTTAGATAACATCGTTTTTTTTTTTCTTAATTTTCTACTTTGCGCGGTCGTTTACAAGCTAAAATCAGCTGATGTGGTGGCTAACAACAGTTGGCTTTGCGTTAGTAGCACAACTGTGGCTCATCACAAGTGGAACAACGTAAATATAAAACGGCAACTAAAGTCTTTTATTGGAAAGTCTTACTTTGCTCAGACGCCAACGCATCTGAAGCAGAGTATTCTGTATTATGCCAGCATATTCATAAAAGTGATATAAAGTAACAAAAAAATTGACCACTACATATACAAAATTTAAAAGCGCGTAGCTTCACAAATAAACAAACAAATTATGTCAAGTTTTTAATAAATAAGTCGGTGTTTGTAAAACACGCACCTTAATCCCTAATTTTATAACTATCAAAATGACTTCAAATAAGCATAATATTCAACGTCCAACCATCCTTAATTTTTGGAACCAGGGTGTGCATTCTCCCAAAAACTTCACCAACAATTAAATATAATATAAAAAAAGTAATAATAAAGACCGGAAATGTTTCGCATAAAACTGTCACGAAAATTAGGACCGTAAACTTGAGCAATGCATTCGCAGGAATAATTCTTCATCGTTGCAAACTTTGGAATACTAAGGAAAAGACTAGTCTATTCCTCACTGAGATTATGAATGTAGAATTTTATGTTGAAATATTGCGCTAACATTATCCGGAAATCCGGAGAATGCTTGGCAGACGACGGAGATTTAGCAAGGCAACGATCCAAAGCATACGAGTCATATTGCTAAACCATTTCTTGCTGAGACGTTTTAGAATAGCCGGCTAACGGTCCGGACCTTAATCTTATAGAAAATTTATAGAGTATTGTCGAACATAATGTAGCAAAGCGTATTCGAACAAATATCAGTGAGTGAGTGAAGCAGTACTTTGGTTGAAGAATCCAGCTCTATGTTTGTCTAATATCGTTTTATCGATGAATCGCCGTTGTCTTAATTATAATACAGTCAACCCTCCATAAAAGAACTCAGTCGGGACCGCCAAATTATGTTCTATCATAGAGGTGTTTTCTTATAGAATTTACTCAAGATTATATGACAACCATTTATAATATTTATTAAACCAATCAAATACTAGTATCACTAACAAAGTATCGATCAATCATTACTTGTTT